GAGTGATTAGGTCACATGACCTGGAAGGTATTGAAGAAATAAGCTAATTTTCCCATCAAAATATTAATATAAAATATTTAGAGTATTAAAATGGAATAAAAAGAGGTGTGTCCTATGCAGCCAGTGTAGTTCTTTGCGCCAGCATTGAGTTTGAGTGATTAGGTCACATGACCTGGAAGGTATTGAAGAAATAAGCTCATTTTCCCATCAAAATATTAATATAAAATATTTAGAGTATTAAAATGGAATAAAAAGAGGTGTGTCCTATGCAGCCAGTGTAGTTCTTTGAGCCAGCATTGAGTTTGAGTGATTAGGTCACATGACCTGGAAGGTATTGAAGAAATAAGCTCATTTTTCCATCAAAATATTAATATAAAATATTTAAAGTATTAAAATGGAATAAAAAGAGGTGTGTCCTAAGCAGCCAGTGTAGTTCTTTGAGCCAGCATTGAGTTTGAGTGATTAGGTCACATGACCTGGAAGGTATTGAAGAAATAAGCTCATTTTTCCATCAAAATATTAATATAAAATATTTAGAGTATTAAAATGGAATAAAAAGAGGTGTGTCCTACGCAGCCAGTGTAGTTCTTTGCGCCAGCATTGAGTTTGAGTGATTAGGTCACATGACCTGGAAGGTATTGAAGAAATAAGCTAATTTTTCCATCAAAATATTAATATAAAATATTTAAAGTATTAAAATGGAATAAAAAGAGGTGTGTCCTATGCAGCCAGTGTAGTTCTTTGAGCCAGCATTGATTTTGAGTGATTAGGTCACATGACCTGGAAGGTATTGAAGAAATAAGCTAATTTTTCCATCAAAATATTAATATAAAATATTTAAAGTATTAAAATGGAATAAAAAGAGGTGTGTCCTAAGCAGCCAGTGTAGTTCTTTGAGCCAGCATTGATTTTGAGTGATTAGGTCACATGACCTGGAAGGTATTGAAGAAATAAGCTCATTTTCCCATCAAAATATTAATATAAAATATTTAGAGTATTAAAATTGAATAAAAAGAGGTGTGTCCTATGCAGCCAGTGTAGTTCTTTGCGCCAGCATTGATTTTGAGTGATTAGGTCACATGACCTGGAAGGTATTGAAGAAATAAGCTCATTTTCCCATCAAAATATTAATATAAAATATTTAGAGTATTAAAATGGAATAAAAAGAGGTGTGTCCTATGCAACCAGTGTAGTTATTTGAGCCAGCATTGATTTTGAGTGATTAGGTCACATGACCTGGAAGGTATTGAAGAAATAAGCTCATTTTCCCATCAAAATATTAATATAAAATATTTAGAGTATTAAAATGGAATAAAAAGAGGTGTGTCCTATGCAACCAGTGTAGTTATTTGAGCCAGCATTGATTTTGAGTGATTAGGTCACATGACCTGGAAGGTATTGAAGAAATAAGCTCATTTTCCCATCAAAATATTAATATAAAATATTTAGAGTATTAAAATGGAATAAAAAGAGGTGTGTCCTATGCAGCCAGTGTAGTTCTTTGAGCCAGCATTGAGTTTGAGTGATTAGGTCACATGACCTGGAAGGTATTGAAGAAATAAGCTCATTTTTCCATCAAAATATTAATATAAAATATTTAAAGTATTAAAATGGAATAAAAAGAGGTGTGTCCTAAGCAGCCAGTGTAGTTCTTTGAGCCAGCATTGAGTTTGAGTGATTAGGTCACATGACCTGGAAGGTATTGAAGAAATAAGCTCATTTTTCCATCAAAATATTAATATAAAATATTTAGAGTATTAAAATGGAATAAAAAGAGGTGTGTCCTACGCAGCAAGTGTAGTTCTTTGCGCCAGCATTGAGTTTGAGTGATTAGGTCACATGACCTGGAAAGTATTGAAGAAATAAGCTAATTTTTCCATCAAAATATTAATATAAAATATTTAAAGTATTAAAATGGAATAAAAAGAGGTGTGTCCTATGCAGCCAGTGTAGTTCTTTGAGCCAGCATTGATTTTGAGTGATTAGGTCACATGACCTGGAAGGTATTGAAGAAATAAGCTAATTTCTCCATCAAAATATTAATATAAAATATTTAAAGTATTAAAATGCAATAAAAAGAGGTGTGTTCAATAAATGTATGCTCTAGAGTGAATTTGCTTCACATTCACACGATCGAGAAGCTGTCGATTTATTAAAAATAACATTTTTCTTGTGTAATTGTAAAAGTCATTTGTTGATGGTCCCTAAGTGAAAGCCTCGTTTCGCAGAGAAGATCTCCCCGTTAAACTGACGCTGCTGGCGGGTCCGGGAAACTGACGCTGCTGGCGGGTCCGCGAATGTCCGTCGAATATCCAACCTAAAACTAACTTCACCGCGGTTGTTTTTTGCCAGCATCGCTTCCCATCTTCTTTTACAAACTCGCTATGGTGGACTCCCCTACCATGAGGAAGACTTTTGTGGTTCCAGACATAAAGCCCTTGGATTTGTATGACTGTACTAAAGCAAAAAATG